AGCCTGTGTCTAATGAAACGCGTTGTTGCTGCAATGAACGCGACCGCGTTCTGATTGATGATTGGTCATCATTGACTTCTATGAGCATTTCTTAGCTTTGATCGTATTCAATCTGGCCATTGTATGCCGTTGCAATCGTTTCAACCGTTTCAACTTTTTTCGAGTTTCGGTTGTTAGATGGTCAAGCTGGCAAATGACGAACACAGATATACGCACGCCCTTTTTCTACTCGGTTGCTTATTAAATCGAGGCACTTTAGCACTGTACGAAGTAATGACAATGCACATAATAAGCGTCGAGGCAGCACAAAACCGGTTGTTGGCCTCCCGACCTTCTTTTGTTTACCACAAGCAAAAGGGATACACTCTTGATGCTTAGTCACTACGAAGACTCTCCGGCAAAGACGATCGCAATGACCGCTACACGACTGAGAACAAAGTGCTATACTCTCCGTCTTTGTATTGCAAAAGACCATTAGTATACGCAACAAGAATCCACAGGAAACGTTTATGTCACAACAAAAGCTGAATGAAATGGAATAATTGATTGCTGTCTATATATGATTGTTCTGATAATACATTGTGCTTCTACAAAGAGTCAGACGAGATAAAGCAAGGAGCCAATTTGGGTATGCCGATAATGTTACAAGGAGGTGGATCAGTATATGTGTTGTTCACCTCCTCCTTCTCCTTGCCCATCTTTGTCTCGTACGCCCTCCATCAGTTATCATATGTGAAATAGACGCAATCGAAGGTGCACGAATCGGTGGAAAGATCATCGTGTGATAGAAAATGAAAAAGAAGTTTCAATCGTGAATGGAAGGTGTTGTGAAGAATTGAGATTATTGACCAATAAATTAATTCGGCCAAACTTGCATCTTTTGGCAGAGAGGTCAAAATCCGATAAAAGCTGCCGGGTGACAGCTACAGATGCATGAAAATGAGGTGACAAAGCAAGGATTTAGAAACCGTGGACTTTGACGTCGGTCTTGTTTACTCCTTCTTCGATCAAAAAAGCGGAAACTTTTTGACGTTGATCACCTTGCAATTGAATGATTTGACCTAATTCTTCGTCATCAACAAGAGTACCGTTGCATGCGAATTCTTTCTTGAATGCTTTCAAGATCTTCTTTTGGTCATACTCTTTGGGTAAGCCTTGAAGGGTTGTCAATGTTTTGCGTCCGTTACGTTGTTGGATACGGATATGAATGTAGTTTTGACCGGTTGCCTGACTTTTGGCAGGCTTTTCAGTCTGTTCAACCTTTACTTCTCCGGCGTCGCCAGTGTCCGCAAAGGGATCTATTGTGTACAAGAAAAGGGAGATGTTGAGTCAGTGTCAGTTGCCACGAAAGAGATACTCAATGTGAGGGTTGCTTCAAGTAGGTGAATATCCACAAGATAGTAACCATACTGCCAAATACCTATGAGCCCCTATTTGATGCTTGCCACCCAAGCTATCCTACTCACCGTAGCTGTTAAGGTTTTGAATGTTCATACGCGGCCTTTGCAAAGGTTCTCTCTTTTGTAAAATGAAAAAATTCAAAGATTCTTTCTTTTGTTGTGTTTTAGTTGGAGAGGGTTGAAGTGAAAACAAAGGCGATGGAAGTGGAATTTGCCAAGTCCTTGCGTTGATGGTGATGGATGAGAAAGTAAGATTTAAAACTGCAAATGCGCATTTCTACTTACGCGCGCAGAGGCCGGCGCAACGCAGAGCAGAGCAGAACCTTTTTTTAGCTTTGTCGTTCTAGACTGCCGATCGAATCATATCATTCAACTTGGCGTTTTAGCCACATAACAAGGCACACAACATTTCTAAAAAAGCGGTGCGGGAGGCATGATGCACTATCCTGCAAAGAAGCTTAAGCGCGGGCGTAGTGCCAGCGGATAAAATAAGAAGAATTGAGAAGAAAGTGTTGTTGTTGTTTGTTTGTCCATTCTCATATTCATTCTTTTTCTTCTTCACATCACTTCAACAAAATGTCTACCTCTACATCACATCCTGATCAAACATCAACACCTTCAACCACTCCTGCTCAAGGTGGCGTTGTTCGTTCATGTCTAAGTGGTGATACGTTGATCATTCGTCCAAGAGGCGTCAACACTCCAGGTGCAGAAAGAACACTTCATGTTGCTGGCATTGCTGCTCCTCGAATGGGCACACGTGAACGTGATGATGAACCTTTCGCTTTCTTATCCAGAGAATTTTTGCGAAAGTTACTGGTAGGAAGAGAGATTCGTTATCGCGTGGAATATACAGTGCCAATCTCCGCTCAAAATGCTGTCATTCGCGAATACGTTCATGTTTTTCTTCCTCCTGAAAGCCCGGGTGCTTCTGATGTAAATGTATCGCACAAAATATTGGCAGACGGCTGGGCTCGAGTTCACGACTCCGTCTCACGTAGAAATGCAAATGCCGTACCGGAAGAGGAAGAAGAAGGCGGTTATAAATCCGTTCAACGTTCCATTCAAGAAGAAGCACAAAAGAACAGCGTTGGTGTTTGGGGACCTAATGATTTACTTAAAGTGGAACATAACATGACAGATTCGACTTCATTCTTGGCTGAATGGAAGGGCAAAGAAATCGAAAGTGTTGTTGAACAGGTACGTGATGGAAGCATGTTACGCGTTCGCTTATTCCTCTCTTCCAATCATCATCAAATCATCAATCTGTCTTTGGCCGGTGTCAAAGCACCAAGATTAGCCGGAGCAGGTGGTCCTCCAGCTCAAGAAGGTAGCGAACCTTTTGCAGAAGAAGCAAGGTTCTTTGTCGAAAGCAGATTGCTGCAGCGAAATGTTCGGGTCACCTTGCTCTCTCTTCCACCTTCTGCAGCTCCAACGCCATTCTCAGTCTCAGGCAATGCACCTGCACCTCAATCTACATTTTCATCTTCAATCTTGATTGGACAAATGATCCATCCTGTTGGTGATATCGCTCAATTCTTATTGGCTTCCGGATTGGCTAAATGCGTTGATTGGCATGCAGGAATGTTGGCGATGGACAAATACAGATTAGCAGAAAAAGCAGCAAAAGATAAACGTTTGAACATCTGGCGAGACTATCAACCTCCAGCAAAAAGTGCAGATACTGTCCTTCCTGCCAGTCCAGCTGCACGAACATTCGAAGCAACTGTCGTTCGGGTGATTTCAGGCGACACTATTCATGTTCGTAGAATCACCGGTGAAGGTCAATCAAAGACTACCACAGTCTCCAATGCTTCCAATGCGATTACCTCTGGCGAACAACGCATTCATCTGTCTTCTATTCGTCAACCTGTACTCAAAGATGAAAAGCAAGCCGGCTATGCGAATGAAGCCAAAGATCTATTACGCAAAAGGTTGGTCGGCAAACCGGTCATGGTTCGAATCGATTACATCAAGAAAGAGGCTGGTTCGGATGATCGCTTATTTGCAACAGTCACTGCTACAACTGGCTCAAAGGAGACAAGAGATGTAGGTGAGACGTTGATCTCACGTGGATTGGCAACAGTCATGCGCCACAGAAACGGTGACGAAGACCGTTCACCCGATTGGGATAAATTGATGGCTATTGAAGCAGAAGCATCAGGTGCTCAACGTGGTTTGCACAGCGGAAAAGAACTTACTGCGCCCAAGTACGTAGATGCAAGTGAAAGTGCTGGTAAAGCAAACGCATACCTTTCCACCTTGAAACGATTGGCAAAAGTAAATGCAATTGTTGATTTTTGTGCAAGTGCAAGCAGATTCAAGCTTATCGTACCTCGTGAGAACTGCAAATTGACCTTTGTGTTGGCAGGTATCAGAGCACCGCGAATTGGCCGAACTCCTTCAGATCATGATGAACCTTTCTCCCGAGAAGGTTTGGATTGGAGCACTGAAAAGGTATTACAGAGAGATGTAGATATCGAAGTCTTTTCGATCGATAAATCTGGCGGTTTCATTGGCGCTATGCTGATCAACAATAGAAGCGAGAATGTTGCAGTGAAGTTGGTCGAACAAGGTTTGGCGAGCGTTCACCATTACAGCGCTGAAACTCTTTCATTTGGACAACAGTTGATCGATGCAGAATCGCGGGCCAAGAGTGCCAAAGCGGGAATGTGGATCAATCATGTGGAAGAGGATGAGCAAAATGATGATGTGATTGGAGCACGTGTCGGTTCAGTCGAACAGCGTGCCCCATCGACATGGGCTGGTCAAAGCTTGAACAGCGCTCCTGCCAATGGAACATCATCCGGCAAGGTAGGGTGGGGTCAGAAAGCGCCTGCTGGTGCCGTGCAAAACGGTACTTTAAAACCAAAGACAGAATACGTTGACATCACAGTCTCAGACGTTCGAGGTGATGGTGGCGCGTCCGTGCCATTCTCTTTCTCTGTGCAGATCTTGAACGATCGTATCCAGGAACTCGAAAAGTTGATGCAAGAATTGTCCGTCTCACAAAAATCGGCCTCGAAGAGCTTCGCTTCAGCAGGTCAACAACGTGTTGGCGATTGGGTCGTTGCCCGTTTCTCAGGTGATGGCCAATGGTATCGTGGTCAGATCTTGCGCAACAAACCTGCACAAAAGGCAAAAGAAATCTTGTTTGTCGATTACGGAAATATTGAAGATGTTGACACAAACGACATTCGTGCTTTGGATGATGTTCATTTCGGTAAGAGACGCTTACCTGCTCAATGTCACCCTGCCCGTTTGAGCTTTGTGAAATTGTACGACGGTCGTACTGTCGCCGATACTGCATCCAAGCAAGCAAGATCCGCCGGAGGACGTCAACCACAGCCGGTTCAAGCACAGACTGGCACAAGTGATGAATATGCATTGGATGCCATTGAGAGATTCAAAGAAGTAACAGAAGGACAAAAGTTGATTGCAAACATTGATCACCGGGACACCAACGGTACCTTGCATCTTACACTTTACGATCCAAACAATGCTTCCGCAATCGCACAAGGTAGACCGGAAGCATGCATCAACGTTGACTTGTGCGCTGAAGGATTCGCTTTGCCTGACAAACGTCTTCCTTATTGGCCAGCATACGCACAAATGACAAAAGCAGTCGAAAGTGCTAACCAAGAAGCACGCAAACGTCATTTGGGAGTATTCGAGTTAGGAGATCCAACAGGAGATGAATGAGACATTGAAAAGGAGCGTGGCGCTTATCAAGATTGATTCAATTTTCTTTTTTTGTCATTTGTACAATAATACAGCATCACTCTTCCGTTACTTGAGCGCCTTCAGTTGTGACATGAAGGTATTCTATTGAACATTCAATCGATTCTTTTTTGAACTCTTCTGTGATTGTCTTTGCGATTGCTTGTTCGTTTTCTGTTGCTAAAGCTAAGATTGTCGGTCCTGCTCCTGAAAGGCAAATACCCAACAGACCAGGATGTGAGGATGGCGTAACAGAAGCCAAGATTGTCGGTAGACCTGGGATCAAATGTTTGCGGTACGGTTGATGAACACGATCTTGCATTGCCTGGAAGATCAATCCGACATCTGGAGGTGACCTGGCAAGGGCTGTGGTGAGAACAGCTAATCTTTGTAGATTGAAGACCTATTGGGGAAAAGTATGTAAGTGATCCCTCATCTATGCTAATTCCTTCAACGTGCACTCACCAAATCCTGCTTTGAATATGAATCGGGTAAAGCACTTCTTGCTTTAGCCGTAGATACTTCGAAATGTGGAATGATGGCGATTACTTTGATTTCCGGTGCCCAGCCAAAACGAATGAAGTGTCCAATTCCTCTTGGTGGAGCTGGTGGATCTTTTCCCCATTGTTCTCCTGCATCTGGTGGATATTCTGGCAAAACTTCGGAAAGTGGAACGGCTTTGGCAGTTGTATCTTCTGGACTGAGATCCAATAAGTAACTTCCAACGAAACCACCAATCAAAGCTGCTGTGACGTTATCAGGATGACGTTCGATCATCAATGCATGATCCAATAAGCGTTCTTTGGATAGCTTCAAATTTCCCAAAGCATCTCCTAACAGAATACCTGCAATCACAGCTGCACCTGAACTTCCCAATCCACGACCGAATGGAACTTCGTTATGAACTTTGATACTAATGCCGACGGGAAAAGAAGATATTCCAGCACAACGTAAAACGTATAAAGCACAACGAGTTGTTAGATTTTGATAAGCGTCTAATGGGGCTTCATCTGCTCCTTGTCCTGTGTAAGAAAGGATAGGTGATTTGTTGGATTGATTTGAATCGATTGTTACCTTGAGCGTTAAATAAAGCGAAAGTGAAAGACCAACGACATCAAATCCTGGCCCGATATTAGAGGAAGTGCATGGCACCTTTACTGTGAATTGTCTCATGATCGAATTGATGGAGGGGAAGAAAGGTTCGAAGAAGTGTTCTTCCTGTTTTTAGAGTTTGGACAGACTAAATGCCCTCTCTGGCACGCGTAGAGTCATGCATGGGGATCTTCTTTCTTCCAAGTAAATATAACCACGTGAAATTGGATATAGGCTCCACACCTTCACGCTTTTTTCATTCTTTAAACACAACCATCTTCACCTTTAACGATAATCAACAATGGCAGCAAGCACATCACGAGCAGGATTGCAAACACTGAGATCCTCAATTCGACCAACAGTCAACCCATTGGGTGCAAACTTTGTCTTTAGCAGATCGATTCGTTCTTCCTTTGTTCCTAGACAAGAAGTACAAAGACCAACCAAATCTGAACAAGGCACACAGTTGACATGGGACCGGTATTTGAATCTAAGAAAGCAAAGAAGGTTAGCTGGTATGGTTACCACCGTTCCATCTACAATCCTAGCTGCTGCTGCTTCGGGATCCTATTTTCTTACGCAAGAAATCGATCCAACCAGTAGTCCGATTGCAGGCGTTGATCCGGTGTATGTGTATGCTTTGCTCACGTTGGGATGTACAGGTATGTAGGAGGGAACTGAAGAAAGAAAGAGAAATCCTGACTGACTTATTTCTGCATCTTAATTAGGTCTTGGGTATCTTCTTGGTCCCTCTCTAGGCTCGGGAGTTTGGTCTTTGTTCCATGGCAAAAATCGCAAGCAGATTGAAGAAAAGGATAAACTCTTCTTTGAACACATCACAAAACAACGTGTCGATCCAAGCAGACAGACGATGCAGAACAGACTCCCAGACTACTACGGCGAAAAGATTGGAAGTATAAAAGATTATCGTCAATGGTTACGCGATCAATCTACATTTAGAAGGAAGGCAGCACACGGGGTCGATGATGATGAAAAAGTGATTTGATTGCAGTGATGATTGTATAAGTTACACATCGTCAAAGGAATGATATCTTTCACCAAACGTCTCCTCCGACATGACGTCTAATCGTGCTACCTGCCCTCTTGCCTGTCGGCTTTCCCTCATCAAGGGCAAATTGACCATTCACCAACACAGACCGTATTCCAAGCGAGGCTTGGGTAGGATTCGCAAATGTAGCTTTATCAGAAACGATTGATGGATCGAATAAACAAAGATCAGCTTGCATTCCAACTTTGACTAGACCACGACTATGTTCGATACCAATCACACGGGCTGCTCTGCTTGTGAGATGTGCAACGGCCTCTTCTAATCCTCCTTGAAAGATCTTGCATGGTTCAACAGGTTCATACTCATCTTCCGTACCGTTCGTCTCGACGCTCGGAGGCTTGGTTATCATTCGTGATTTTCCTTTTTCTAGATCACGACCATAATGACCTAAATATCGAGTAAACGTTCCCCAACCTCTTGGGTGCGGTTTCGATGCGGTGAGAATCCCATCCGATCCTCCGCAATGCTTTGGATGTTGCATGATTGCACGTACGTTTTGTTCATGTCCAACATGTTGCAAGATTAACGTTGCTTGATTATCCCGTACTAAGAGATCGATAAAGACTTCAAAGGGATCTTTCCCTTGTGCTTTTCCAATTTCTTCAATCGTTTTTCCGACGCACGATTTCAGATCAGGGTTCTGTACTCCTGCGATCTCGATGGTTTCCCATTCTAGCCGACATCCATGACAGCCGTCCGTGCCTGTGACGAGTGATTGATGCCGTAGCTTCTCAAAGGTGTCTGGATCTCTCAAGACAGTTTGCAAATCTCCTGAAGCTGCTGCCCAACTTGGTAAGAGAGCAGCTAATGTTGTACTGCCAGGCAAGTATGGGTAGGTATCCATTGTGATTTCTACGCCAGCCTTGATACCTTCATCAACCATTGTCATAAATTCGTTCGCCCTTCCGGCATTATCACCAAAGTTTAAAGTTGCATGTGTGAGATGCAATCTGCACTTTGTTCTGCGAGCCAAATCAATCATCTCTGCGTAGGCTTCCATTGCTCCTTTTCCGTACGATCGTGTATGTGGGCAGTAGTAACCCTTTGCTTCGTGAACGACTTCTAGTAGTTGTGCTAATTCTTCCCCATCGGCAAACATTCCAGGTACGTATGTCAAACCAGAAGACATTCCTACCGCGCCTTCTTCGAGGGAAATCTGTAATTGTTCTTTCATCTGTTGAATTTGTTTGGTGGTTGCTTTACCCGAATCATATCCCATCGCAAGCATGCGTAAATTACCCTGAGGAACAAGATAAGCAACATTTGTAGCAATCTTTTGATCGTCCAAAACATCCAAGTATTCCTTTACCGATCTCCATCTGGAAAAGAAATCTTTTGGTTCTTGCGGATTTCCGTTCCAGCCTGCGACTTGAACACGAATACGTTGCATACATTCATCATTTACCGGACTATAGCTTATTCCATCTTGTCCGACGACTTCAGTCGTTACACCTTGTGTAATCTTTGCTTCATGGGAAGGTGTATGCAAAAGGGAAAGGTCTGAATGGGCATGCATATCAATGAATCCAGGACAAAGGATCCAATTACCATTTTCGCCATCTATACAGCGTGCTCCTATACTTCTTGCTTGTGTTGTTAGATCTTCTTTGCTTCTTTGTATTTCTTGTATTTTTTCTCCTCGTACAATCACATTTGCAAGATATCGTTCTTCATCACCGCTACCATCGATCACTGTCACATTTGCGAAGACGATATCGTCTGGCTCGATAGACATTTTTGAGCCATGTGATGAGAGGTAAGATGGTCTGGGATGGGCTTTAAGTCATCTTGGGATTCGGAACACCGAATGATGGAGGTTCCCATCAACGCGGGGGTAAAATCACTTTTGTCTGGCTGAACAAAAAGTGAGTATCGTGACAGTAGTGGTGGTGTGCCCTGTTTGAGACTACTACTACCTCTGACTCATATTTTGGCGTGTGAATTATGAGCTATTAATTCTTGTAATTGATCTTGCATGAATACAATAAGCCTTTCCAATGATGCTCGTCAATTAACTTTTCCTTCCCCCGCACACAACATGCATGTATGCATGCATTGTAGTAAAACGGCGAAATTGCCATATCTCTCACCTTTCCTTTGTTCAACTAAAGAGATAAGCCAAGGGGGTGCGTGCGTGCGTGCGTGCGTGCGTGCATTAAATGAAACAATTTGCCTGCAAAGGCTTGGCAGCAGAAAAAGCTAAAAACAGAAGAACGAGTGGCGGGTAAAGCAAAAAACGCGGCGCAAGTGCAGTCTATATGCCGAACATGCATGCACACACTGGGGAAAAAGAGTCAATCATGATTCCCGATTAACGGCGGATTAACTTTAACCGCTTTTCCCGCCGATCGTTTCTATTCTTTAATAACTATACCACAAGTCATGATTCAAGTTGTATTGGAGCAAAAGGCGCCCATCCTTTCTTCAACACCACCATCACAATCACCAATTTATTGGTGAAAGAAGTCAATCATGCAAGGGAGGCTTACGAGGTGAATCATCTTATCTCCCGATTGCAAACAACATTACTCTTTCCAAGTCCATCGAGACAACATCGTTCCCCCTCGTCGATCAAAGGCCAAGCAAAGCTTTTACCCCCACCTTGACCGTCGATAAGAGTCTACCAAGCCGCATTGGTTCATCGGATTACTTCCATATTCAATCTTTCTCATCTTCAACGGCAACATACATACATCCACTCTTTCCCCCACGCAAGGTATCGATCCCCACTTCGATTGCAATCATACAAGATAGAGGAAGCCATTCCCCCACTTCCACTAAGGTACAAATAGGACCATTCTACGACCAGAAAAACATTTGACGGTCATATCCAACTTTTCTACTCCCCAAAAAACAATCAGGATGTCTAAAGCGGATGAATACGTTCCGACTGCTTCTCCTCGTTCAATCCATCCCGATGATTCAATCGAAGGCGACAATGAAAAGATGAGCAATACACTAGAGAAAGGTCGAGTCCGAACAGATGAAGATTACTCAACCTCAGATGCGGATGAAAACGTCTTAGGCGGTTGGAGACCCACAGAAGAACAAAGCAGAATCCAAAAGGTGATGAAGAGAAAATTCGATTTCACTCTTCTACCCATTTTGACAATCATTTATCTATTCAACGCATTAGATAAAGGTAATTTGGGAAATGCAAAAACCGGAACTCTGGATCAAGATTTACATCTGAAGGGAAATCAATATTATCTGATCACTATGATCTTTTATGTTCCTTTTTGTTTATGCGGTATTCCACTCACAATGGTCATCAAGCGATATTCTGCTGCCCGTGTCATTCCAATTTTGATGTTCAGTTTTGGTTCCCTATCTCTGATTCAGGCTGGAGTGGTAAATTTTGGCGGACTATTTGCACTTCGAATGCTCTTGGGTATAGCAGAATCACCCATGCTTCCGGGAGTTGTATTCTATTTGTCTACATTCTATACCCGTGGAGAATTGGCAGGAAGGGTGGGCATATTTTATGCTGCTGCGGCAATCTCAGGTGCATTCTCTGGTTTGATAGCATATGGGGTATTTCAAATTAGCAATCCTCCCATTTCAGGTTGGAGAATATTGTTCCTAATTGAAGGTGCTGCAACGTGCGTTTTTGCAACTTTCGCTTTCTTCGTCTTGCCTCGTAACTCACAGTCAGCTTGGATGTTGAACGCAAAAGAGAAAGAAGTGGCAAAGGAACGTATCGAAAAGGATGCTTCGGTTTCCGTCTCGGAGAAGTTGGATATAAGGGATGCATTAAGACCATTCCGTGATTGGCGATATGCAGTTTGGGCTGCAATCTCTTTTACATTGGGTGTACCTTTGGTCAGCGTCAATACTTTCTTACCTCAAATTGTAGCCCGTCTAGGATATGACACCGTCAAGACGAATCTGTACACCGTTGCGCCTAATGTTTGTGGTGCAGTCTTCTTGCTCATCCTTACACAACTTTCGGATCGTTTCCGTGAAAGAGGTTTGCACAGCTGTTTCGCTCTGATCGTTGGATTAGCAGGCTGGATCAGTCTAGCCGTTATCCCACCTTCAAACGTTCATGCAACATACGGTGCTGTATTCTTGGCAGCAATGGGAGCTTCTGCACCTTCCGTTCTAACGGCGACGTGGTATACAAACAACACCTCTTCTGAATCACGGAGAGCACTGTTGGCAGCCGTTATGATTGCGTTGGCAAATGCAGCAGGTTTAGTGAGCACGAATATCTTTCGAGCGAAATGGGAACCGGATTATACTCCCTCTTTGGCAATTTCTGGAGCTTTTTGTGGATTATGTGTGATAATCACTTTTACATGGACGATGTATTTGCGATATGATAATGCTCGTCGAAATCGTATTCAAGGTGTCAATTTACGTGCTCAAGATGTTGCAACGAGCGAATTGGCAAAAGGTTGGAAAAGTCCACATTTCCGTTGGACTACATGAGCTGGGAAATGCATTTTTATAACAATGTATAATGATAATGATTGGATCTAATTTCATACTAATGACTGCATATCCTGTCCACGTCCATGTTTTATGTTTGATAAATTCCCCACGTTGATACTTCAGACCATCTTGGCACCATGTCGATGCAAGAGAAAGATGATCTTGATACAGTCCCCCACGCCGACTTCTTCGTTGTAAGTGCATTAGCGTGGGGGCTCGCTACACTATTCACAATTGAATCCTCGCCCCCCCTTCACACTTCTTCTCGACAACCATCTACATTTTCTTTCTTCCATCTCTGGTTAACATGAGCAACTCAACAGTCATCAAACAAAACTCTTCCGAACTATCACAACGCAGTGATATTTACTCTCATACAGCAAAAGTGCCCGGCTTGATCTTTTGTTCCGGTCAAGTTCCTGCTGATGGCCAAGGAAAGATTGTTGAAGGTGATGTGAAGCAACATTGCGCTCAATGTATCAACAATCTCGAAAAAGCTCTCAAGAATGCTGGTTCAAGCTTGGATCATTTAGTCAAAGTGAACGTGAGTGGTGACGATGTAAGAATTGTGTACAGCGCATGTACTGACTAATCTCATCCCATACTCTTGACAGATTTACCTCAAGAACATGGACGATTTCGCTGCTATCAACTCTGTCTATGAGCAAATGATCCCATCACCAAAACCAGCACGAACATGCATCCAAGCAGGAAAGCGTGAGTGTTTTGTCATTTAATGCCCTATGTTCAACACTAACCTTCCTTTCATTCTACAGTACCTCTTGATGTTGACATCGAAATTGAAGCTATCGCTTCTTACGCTCAATAAATGACAAGACATGACAATGCATACATTACTACCTACATACGGAATATCCATCAAGGTTCTGAAAATGTTTCCGTCTTGAACTCGAAATCGGCATACTTTTTCAATCGTTCACAAATGATGTTTGCTCCAGTTGTTGCTGCTGTTAAGACACCTCCTTCTTTTGCCAATGGATGAAGTCGATCATGATCCAAAGCGGTTGCCAATGCTACCTCAGAAATCATTCTTGCTGTCATCTTGTAGCCTGGATCACCTGGTGCTTTGAAAATTGAGACGGCTTGTTTCTGTCCATAGCGTGCCCATGCTCGAGCATCAGTCTTGACTCTGTTTTGCATACTGACTGAAGGGCCTCCTCCTGTTGGCAATACTCTTCGCAAAGCCCATCGGATTGGAGGAAGGTTGTTCAAGAACAATCCTGCAACATTTTGAACACGATTTTGAACTTGCGAAAATACCCATGATCCTCCTACTAATGTGTCTTCGTATGAGAAATTAGCACCATATGCATCCTTTCCTTCAGCATCTTCCAATAAACTCCAAGAACGATAAACTGTTCGTACATTATGGGGGCTCAAAACGTATCCACCGCCGTATGCGTTGAATTGAGGCAGCCAAATTGCAGCTGTATTGCTCATCGGTTTGACTGGCTTGCGTGTTGCCAACCTACTTTCGTCACAGAATTGTAATTGAGTTTTATCTTCATCAGCCATATCGCAAGCAGAATGAACTGTTCCGGTAGAAAAGATTGGTGCTTCTTTCAAAGCGACAATCACTTCTTCTGCACCTGGTGCACCCAATTCGTTCTTTAAATGTTGAACTGCCAAATAGGTCGAAATATCCGAAGGTAAACTGTCCAAGCCAACAGAAGGTGTGATTATTACGCCTGCTTTTTTGGCTGATTCATGATGGTTTTTGATCAGAGATTCGTTAAAGCCAGTTTCACCACTCAAATCGACATAATGGGTTCCTTCTGCGATACATGCCTTTACCAATTCTTCCGCTCCTAATAATCGAAAAGGTCCGACAACATTGATAACACAACGAGCTTGTTTTGCTAGATTGCGTAATGATTCGCTGTTTGAATTTTCTGCTTCGATAATGCCAATCTTTGAATCAATGTTTAGTTCTTTTCTTGCTTTTTCTAAACGTTCTTTTGATCGACCTGCCATTGCCCATTTTGGTTTGCCGGAATGTGAGGTGAGGTAAGTAGCGACAAGTTTACCTGTAAATCCGGTTGCTCCAAAGAGCACTACATCGTATGTACGTTGACCTTGCTTAGCAGAAGGAGGCATGATGTTATGAAGAGTAAAAGAGTGGGAAGTGATGGATGGGAAAGAAGAAGAATAAGAAGTTGATATTTAAACCCCACAGAATCATCATTCACTCTCCCGGTTAGTGAACCGAATAAATGCCGCTTAGCCACTTTACGCGTACATTCGCAGACACTTTTTTCACATCTGTTTGACAGCTTGATTCACTCCGTTCTCCGATCCCCGTTCTGATGGCTGGCTTACTTTTGATTACAATTAGAAAATATCAAGTTTGCTGACATAATGATCAATCTTACGAAGGGGCACGAAGTATACTGTATGTATAGTATATGAAGATCAGCACAAGCCATAAACGCACAGAAACCTCCACCTAAGAGGGTGCAAAAGGGGACCGACCTGCTTGTCAGCTTATGACTTGATCAAAAATACTTCTTTCATACGACCACCCACCCCCATCTACTCATATACGACAATGTCAAACGGAGCACAAGGACTTGGCGACGCCATCAAGGGGTAAGTGTATCATTCGATGTTCAGGGTAACAAAAAAGCTGATTCACTCTCCCTTAACGCCTTTCTGATGAAAAGCGTTTTCAATGCAGCCCACGGAGCAGGAGAAGTGATTCGTGGAACGATCAACGATGGAGCCGATAAGCTTGGTGAAGGTATTGCATCTGACGGAAAACAAACTGGAACAGATGATAAACGTCAACGAGATTTGGCTTTGGATGGACATGCTCCACAAGACCATAGCGCAACCGTTTCTGAAGGTAAAGGTCAATTCGAACAAGGTATCTCTTCAATAGGAAACGCAGGTCAAGGTGGATCCAATCAACCAAGCGCTTAGGAGTAATAGCTTCATGTCATTGATGTACCCATCGGAATGCATTCATTGATTAATCAGGGGTGGGTTGGACGTGAAGAAAAGGGGAATGTATGCTATTCATTCTAACGATTATGAATCATTTTTATAAGTTCATCATTCAACCATGTTCATAAACACCAATTCCTCCCAACATTTCATTCTTCCTGTCGTGATTGTAGGTTCTTTTTGCGGCACCCTATATTACACACTTTCCATCATGCCATCTTCAGAACCGTCGCATTCGTATCCTCCAGTGGAAGTAGAAGAAGAGGAACCTGCTACAAAAGCTATGCCAGGTTATCTAGGTGGTGCTTATAATGGGTATGTATCCGGAGTTTTGGAAAGTAGACCTCTGCCTGCTGATGACATTCTTTCATCTCGAATAGCGTTTGCAATGTGGTCAACGGTGCTTTAGATAGATATCTTGGAACGGGTGAGCCAACGTCTTCATCTAGCACAAGCGTTGTAGAACCGTCAATCAAGGAGGGAGAAGTGCAAAAGAACGAAACAGTCGAACAAGATTCAGTCACAAAAGACGATTCGAAGAACGGCAAAGATGCTGAGCCTGAGACAATCGTAAAGGAAGAAGAAAGTGCCAAAGTTGAAGAAGCAAAAGTTCAATCTACCGCCGAAAAAGCAGTTGATGACGTGAAACAGATGGCACATCAATCTTATCAATCAGCCGGAAAAACATTTGATGGCGTAAAGCAAAGAGCATTTGAAGCCTACGAAAAGCTTACTTCATCCAGCAAAAAACAAGTCAATGATGGCGTTCAAAAGATCAAAGATGCTGCTGGAGCTAGTCAAAAAGCCATCAAAAGAGCTTCTTTGAGACCAGAGAAGAAAAAGAGCGATGCTTGATTTGTTTACCTGCTCGGAGCTATTTTCCCTTCCCGTTTTGTACATACCTTTCTCAACCGTACCAATGCGAGCGAATAAGTTTTGTCGACATTCGAATGAAATGAATTGGATGATAAAGTGAACAAGTAATGTACAGATAAGGCGAATTGGTGATCATTAGAGAGAATTGAAAAAGTCGAGCACTAATTATCGTTTGAGGTTCCGTTAAGAATACGTAAAACGCTGATGAAGAGGTTGAGAATGTCAAGGTAAAGCGATACAACAGCGAGAACCCATTCTTCGGGAGATAGCCTCTTCAAGATCATATGTGTATCGTAGATGATGTATCCACTAAAGATCAAACAACCTCCAGCGGCAAAAGCGATATCGATAGCTTGACTGAATGGCAAAAAGATTTGCACAAAACCGGCACCGACCAAAAAGAGTAAGCCTCCGAATAGCCAAGGACCCATTTTGCTGAAATCATATCTTGATTGAAAAGTGAACAAAGTCAATCCCAAAAACGTGAAAAGTGTGATGATCAATGCTTGCAAGACGACTGTTTGTGAGACGTATGAAACGATCAAGCCGAGAGAGAAAGCTTCAAATGTTGTGAATAATCCCAACAAGACAAAGTTGAGAGGATGAGAGTGGCGTTTGAAGAAAAGAAATCCCATAGTAACAATACTTGCGATCATGCTGATAATATAAGACCATGTGTTTTGGCGAACCCATGTTGTAACTGTTGGGGTACTGAAAATGCCAGCCATAACCGTGGTCGCGAGGAGTTGAATGAATAGAACGGAATACACCTTTTTCAAGAACATTTGACGAATTTCAGGTGAACTTTGTTCTACCGTAACACCAAATTTGAAATCATCCGGATCAATATCGCCTTCTTCACGAGGAGCATCATGTAGCAAAGGTTGAGAAGAGCTTCCCGGATTGTCCTCTTGCGAGATGGCTTGATAGCCACCCGAATGGGTTTTTGGGCCCGTGTATGTTGGTGGTGCTTGGGAATACGACATGGTTACGGATGGTGGTACAAGAAGGGGATGGTAAAGGTGGCGGCGAGTATGCTTACTATGCTTCAATGTGTAGTATATTATAAGCGCAGCCCAGCTCAGCGCACGCATAGACGCATGCACTGAGTGTAAAGTTGAGATTATGCGTACGCCCTGCAGCCTGTAGAAACGTCTAGATCTGCTTTGGTTATAGAGGCAGGCAGGCAGCTTAGCTCGGGCTGTGTAGAGCCGTGTTACGTGCGACAAGAATTTAATGCCTGCACTTCACAACTTTTGAAGTACTCATCCAAGAAGCATATCATTTCCCATCTGTGACCTATCTTTCAGACATGGGCCAATCGTTTATTATATGTCACAGATATTGCTATGAACGAAACCCTACTGATGGCTTTCTGAACCTTTATGACGCCTGTACCGCCTCATGCGTTAGAACTGCAATGCGTTAAACATTCAATGATGCCTGCCTGCACCTTACTCGACCCTATTCAATGATTCAAAGATCGGCCAAGTATAAAAAGGGTTAATTCTTGCATGCAAATTCATGTTGCCCTGCATGACCCTTGATTTGCAGGTGCGTGCTGGAGTATAAAAGCAGTCAATTGCTCATGTGCACGGAGGGGGCTACACACACACACACACACACACACGCACACACTGCATGATGTATATTGCGAGATAAGTGACTGTCTGTGCGATGCTCTGGCGTTGCGCCTGTAAAGGAAGATTAAGCTTGTTGCTTGCTGTACACATACTCACTCTCCCCCACCATTTCAGTAACGCTAAGATGAAAGAAGAAGTTCTTTAGCCGAATCAAATAAGATCATGAATTCATTATCATTAATTTAAGCTTTTAATTCCTCTATCCTTTCATTGCTTTCCATTTCTTTTCCTTCATCTCTAAATCATCACAATGTCTGACGCTGAATTGATCGGATCAATCGATGCAGGTACAACATCTGTTCGCTTTATCATCTTTGATGAATTCGGTCAAATTCAAGCCAAACATGGAATGGAATTCACACAATATTATGAACAACCGGGTTGGCAAGAACAAGATGCACATGAAATGTATGATAGGATCGTTCAATGTATCGGAACAGCTATCGTGAAATTAGAACAACTTGGACGATATACACGTGAACAAATCAAAGTCATCGGTGTGACAAATCAACGTGAAACGACTGTTGTTTGGGATAAAGAAACAGGAAGAGCATTAACAAGAGCAATCGCATGGCCAGATGCACGTACGACCGCAGTCGTAAAACAATTAGCAAAAAGTCATCCAAAAGGTGTAAATGCGATAAAAAAGGAAACAGGATTACCTCTTTCTACCTATTTTGCTGCCGTCAAATTACGTTGGATGTTGGAAAATATACCTGAAGTGAAGGAAGCACACGATGAAAAGAGAATGTTATTCGGTACGATGGATTCATGGATAATCTATAATCTTACCGGCAGAAAGGTACACGTAACGGACGCAAGTAATGCTTCACGTACAATGTTGATGGATTTGCGTAAATTGGAATGGGATCCCACTTTGTGCGAATTCTTTGGTGTGAATATGGACATCTTGCCTACCATAAAAAGTTCATCGGAAGTATATGGTCAAGTAGAATCTGGATTATTAAAAGGAGTAGAAATTGCGGGCATGGCCGGTGACCAAATGGCTGCTCTAGTTGGACAAAAAGCATTATCGCCTGGTGATGCAAAGAATACGTACGGAACAGGCGCTTTCTTATTATACAATACAGGCTCAAAGATTGTTCATTCTGAGCGTGGTCTTTTGTCAACCATTGCTTATCAACCCGGTCCAAATACCGCTCCAGTGTATGCTTTAGAAGGTTCAATTGCCGTTGCCGGCTCTGCTGTCAAATGGTTACGTGATCAAATGGGATTGATCAAAGAATCAAATGATGTCGGCATTGAAGCGGCAAAAGTGGAAGATTCTGGTGGCATTTATTTTGTTACTGCATTTGCCGGTTTATTATCTCCCGTTTGGGATTCTTCTGCTCGAGGAACGATTGTTGGTATTACCGGATATACTACGAAAGAGCACGTTTGTCGTGCAACTTTGGAAGCTGTTTGTTACCAAACGGAAGCTGTCGTACGAAACATGGCCGAAGAGAGTGGCGTGAATATCAAGAATTTGCACGTAGACGGCGGAATGGTGAACAGTGATGAAGGAATGCAAATTCAAGCTGATATTCTTGGTATAACCGTAACCCGACCAGAAATGCGTGAAACAACAGCTTTGGGATCTGCACTATTAGCAGGCGCTGCAAAAGGAATGTTTGGGTGGAAGTTGGATGACCCTGAAACATTTAAGAATGTTAATACAAAGAATGGCGATCAATTCACGCCAAGAATTGACGATATTCAAAGACGAAAAATGATTCGGGGTTGGGAACGTGCAGTCGTTCGAGCAAAAGGATGGGAAGAAGAAGGAGATGGTGAATTAAATGTAAAACCTTGAAATGGTGTGGATGAAGTGAGGCGATGAGGAACCATTGCAAATTGTTGTAAAACATGAAACAAATGAAATGAAAGCAGAAAGAGATACATTAAAAGTCGGGAAGAGACGAGATCTGTCTTTACCCAAGGAAAAAAAAAAACATGCTTGATTGTGTATTCTTTTCCAGCTGAATTTGCATTAGGAGCACTTCAACGTTAGCAAGATCTTATTATGCAGAGAAGTCTGCCGTTGAAAGAAAGACAGATGTCTTGCACACATCGTTGAGGCACGAATTGGTGATCTTGATGGTGATTGAAAGCATATGGGAAGAAGAGATGATTCGAGTACTTTTCTTTTTCGTCTGGTATTTGAATCAATTTCGTTGGACAAAAGGTGTCTTCCCGCAATGCTACAGACAGAATGATTCAGAATTCAAAGTTTAGCTTGACGTAGATTTTCACGCAAAACATTTTTCTGGACCTTTCCAGTGGAAGTCTTCGGTAAAGCATCAACGAAATCGATATAGCCCGGAACAGCAAATTTGCTCATTCGAGATCTGCAATATTGTCTTAATTCTTCTGCTGTGAGTTTCCTGCCTTGTTTAAGTACAATAAATGCATGTCCTACCTCTCCCCATTTCTCGTGCGGTCTTGCAACTACGCATCCTTCTAGAACGGCTTCATGACTCGCGATTTCGTCCTCCACAGCTAAGGAACTGATATTCTCGCCACCAGAAATGATGATATCCTTTTGTCGATCACGAATATGAACCTCTCCTCCGGGATGTCGGACTGCCAGATCTCCGGTGTGTAACCAGCCATGTTTGACCGTTTTTTCTGTCGCAACTTTGTCGTTATAATATTCCAACATGGCCAAATTTCCTCTCATGATAATCTCTCCCACCTCTTGACCATCAGCTTCGACATCGATCAAATCACGTTCATCTTTTATTGAATCGTTCTCTTTTCCAGTTTTGATCACTCGAACTTCATCTGAAACTAGAAATCCATGACCTTGACGAGCAATTAGCTGAGCCCTGTCTTGAACGGCTAATTTTGACCAGGATGGTTCCATATATCTCTTCACAAAAGGCCCGTAATTTTCAGTTTGTCCATAACAGTGGACTGGAATCACATTCAAATTTTCCAACGATTGCAGTAGTTCAGCAGTAGGTGCGCTGGCAGCAACGGCAACACGTACAGTTTGAGGTAACCTTTGTGCTTTGGGATGATTCACCAATCCAATATTCACAGTTGGTGCAGCACAATAATGCGTTACTCCATGATCTCTCAAAGCATTCCAAATGAGATCGTTGTCCACTTTACGAATAATGTAATGCGTTCCTAATGCTGCCGTTACCGCCCATGGAAATGTCCAACCGGCAGCATGAAAAGCAGGCAAAACCCAAAGGTATACGCTATCACTTGTCAATTGAAATTCGAAAGCGTTTGCGCATGCTGCAAGGTAGGAACCACGATGAGATGTCAAAACTCCTTTTGGTCTGCCGGTAGTGCCGCTTGTATAGCATAGACAACAAGGTGTATTTTCATCTTTTGGCGCTTCGATTAATTCCCATCCACGTTTTCCTTTTTTACCCCATCGATCGATCTCTTGCTTCTCTGCTTTTTCCCATTCTTGTCTGCCTGTGTGTAAGAATGATTCATATTGATCGGAATCGATTCCATCCTTTCCGCCTGTATCTTTACTAATGATCACTGTCACATTTGAAGGCAATTGTTCGGGCACTAAATGTGCAAATTCTTCGTCGACCAAAATCACGCTTGCTCCGCTATGGTCCAATACGTATGCGATCTCACGTTCATTATTACGAATGCTGGTAAAAGAGGAAAGGAGTGAACGTTAGTTTACATTTTGATCTTGTATTCCTTTAATGCTCACTTTAAAGGTGTCGCAATACCTCCTGCTGCCAAGATGCCATAATATGATTCTAATATCATTGGAGTATTTGGCGCAATGATGGCAACACGATCACCTTTTTTCCAATTTGCTGTATTTTTGATAGCAAATGCTAATGAAAGACATCTTGCTGCCCATTCAACATATGTGAATCGAATACCTTTTTCGGGATGAATGATTGCGGCCTTATTGGGAAAGATTAAAGCTGCACGTAATAAGAATGCGATCGGACTTAAAGGTGAAATATAATGTGGAAGGGAAGGAGGCACTGATAGTCGTAAGCCAAATCTATCTTGAGAAGGAGGTTGAGAAGAGAGCGGAGGTTTGAATTGATTCATACTTTTGCGCTCTTCCCCATGAGGATTAGGTTTAAAGTGGTGGTGGTGGTGGTGGTAGGGGTGGTGAAGGATTGAATGAAGATGTGTAAAAGTCAACTTTCCCCGCATTTCATTTGAGTGAAGGGGAAAACACGGCTAGCTTTTCAGCCACTGGGCGAGTGTGCAAGAACGCGTTCGTTTTTGCAAAGATGCAAATTTGTAGGCACATGGCTAGTATGTAGAATCAGGAAGCGAGCATGCAGGCGTGCTTGGGCTTAATATATACTATTATTTCGTTATTACCTGATGGTCACAAGTAATCGTGCATTGTGTGATATGGATGCTTGGCAATTCTGAAGATCATGTGTCTCATGATCTCCTGCCTATGCATATGTTTTGAACAATTTTATTCTATTCTATTCTATACATACAAGCATAATTATACAATCAACATCAAATCTTCTTATGACCTTTGTGAATCACCAATATTTTCAATAATAAAACAATTTCCCGTTTTTTCATCCCCGTACTTTGTTGGCGAGAGGATCGTTTGCCATCCGGAAGCAGTACAGATGGAAGATTCATTTCTGGTTTGATGACCATGTTGATTTCGATCGACAAAGCCTCGCTTCTTTCTATTTTTATTTCTCTTCCTTCTAGCTTTTCGACCTGTTTGATCAGCTTCATCAAAATCAGTCTCGGATGATGAACTTCTATCTAACTTTGTCGTCTTTTCTGTTTCGTATGATAAAATAGTCTTGTTACGCAAAGACCAACAAATAGGCGCATCGGCAAAACCTACACTTTGAACGATAGCAAAAAGATTTGGTGTTGTCTCATCAAGCAAATGTTGTATTTGAGCAATTAGACAATTCCCCAGTGATGATGGTAAAAAACCGGTATAAGTGATTTTGATCAATTTTCCGGGTTCAAAAGATTGCTTTCTTGAATTTAGATGTAGATCATCCGAGCGCCAAAAAGTACGAGTGCAATCGCAATCCAAAATATTCATCGAAGCCCATGCCAATCGTTCTACCAGAGCATCATGCCACACAATCCATTGCATTCTGTCGTGTCCAATATTTTCAGACCATCCTTTTGCAAGATCATTTGCACTCTCTTGCGTGGGCAGCCATGAATCCGTAACAAGTTCTCGAGAAAGTTCGATAGGTACCCGTTTTATACTGTCAGCTATCACATTTTTCTTTGGAAATTCAATCTTGTCACCAAACGAGTCTTTCGCCGAGCACCAATTCATCACCACATTCCAGCTCCCATTTTGACTTTTGCCCGCTCTCTTGCTATCCCATGCACTTAGACGAAAAGCGATACTTTCATATCCATCTTTTCCTGGCTCAAATGAAGTTGCAAGAAGGTCAACAATCACGACAAATCTTTCTGCTGTGCCACTCCTTCTGTCTGCTGCTCTTCCGCTTGTGCCTTTTGATGCTTTCAATGCTTGTCCCTGAATACCTAGCTCATAGTAGGTCTCTTTGCAAAGCGATAGAACGAGTTGACCTTTTCCATTGATACAAATCACGTCCTCACTATCTAGATTTCCGACGCTCAAAAGTGAAAGTGTACCTCTTTTGATGTAAGAGATTAGGAACAAAGGATCGAGAAAAAGTTGAATATTTATCCTAGCAGAATAAGAGATGACACGCTGGCTGGAAGGGAGATTGTTTGAAAGGTGATCTGTGTTTTGCGTAAATGGTAAAATGATGTTCGTTTGATGATTGAAAACGTGGGAATCAATCACTTCTTCCAGCTTTCCACTTCCTGAATCGATCCCGTTTTCCACTTTGCATGACGATATAATTGAATGACTAACCTTTAAGCCTTTTTGTGTTGTATTGCGACGGGCTGCACTTCGTTTGCGTTTATGAGATGATTTCGAGGCAAACATGAATTGTATGCATAATCGTTCTTTATCAAAAAGATAGATGGCAGTGAAGAAAAAGGCTCTTACTAATGTATTTATCTTCTGCGCGTCGTATTATAAAACTGCGCCTGTGCGCAGCGCTTGAAACTTTAAACCGAATCATTTAAAAGATTATTTTATCTTGATGATGACGAAAACAAACGCGAATCAGTATATCAGAGGCAGGCAACAGTAGCAGATTTGTATGGATTGTTGTCCATTCAAATGCTCTATAAAATTCAGATGACCATATTTAGGGGCTCTTGCTATTGCACTTAGAGTGCATATATTGATGAAGAGAATGCATCCACGCTTGCTGTCACGCATTCCACCCTACACATCATCGCTTTAGAGGTAGGTCGCCAACGAGGCAAGGCTGCCTCCAGCTCAAGTTCGCAAAACGTCGACCGAAATGCACGAAAAGAGTTGCTACAATTACTCGAGAGATCCGTTGAAGGCGATCCATTGGTAGCCGAATGGCTGTTGTTGGCACTCGCTGCACGCATACGTACCCGTTCAGCAGCACATATGCTAGGTGCTCTTACGTTGACCATAAGCAATTTCCCAATCACTCCAAACGAGAAAGGCAAAGAAGCAAACCTACTCACCACCCTTCGCGGAATTTTACCATTCGTTGCCGATCAATCACTCGATTTGGCTCACTTGAACGCACCATCGACGCTTTTTGCGCCAAAAAGTGATGCAGACGAGCGTGGTATGAAGGCATGCAGGCTGCAATTGGTTCGACATTCGATCTTGTTCATCGATGAATCGAGTATGAATGAAGGTCAATTACGCGAGAATGGGATCAACAACATTCGTTCGCTCTCCACCGTCTTGCAGACACAGAAGTTGCCTTACACTTTCCCCTTCAGTACGCATGAGATGGATACGCATTTATCGTGCATGGTTACCAGTCAAGGAAAGAGCTTCTTGCCAATCGATGTTCAGGCTTCATGGCAAGGCACTTCAAGTGAAGTGTTTGGCAATGTTACTCGTGACCCTCCTGCATCCGCATCACTTGCTGCTATTCGTGAGTACCTCTCCAACGTTCAGCAACTTGCAGGGTCTTCATCGCAATTCACGATTTCCAATGATATTCCTGAGAAGATTCAAGATGATTTTGTGATTATCCGAAAAGCAAATCAAGCCGCCACTTCTGCCACCTCTACCGACACCCAAACAGCTTTGGTTACAATCATGGATACCCCCAGGTGGCCAGATTGATTTGCATGACAAATGGGGTAAAATAGCATTACGTTGGCAAGATTGGCAAGAAGCAAAACGATTAGAACAAGGCAGGTTGGCCAGATTGAATGCAGTCAAAGTTTAGATATGCATGTAAAGTCCATAATGACATTCATTCAAACATGACGTAATTGCGTTCGATTGACCTATGCTTAACAACACTTGCTTGAGGCTCGAATTGGTGATCTTGATGATGACGGAAACTTGGAGGTGCTTAGTGGTGGAATGAAAGATCATGAAAGGTTTGATTGTGGATTCAGCTCACTTCTTCTATCAAACGGTCTGCAAGACCCTTAAGACAATCAAGTCATTCTGACTTCTGATGAAACAAGTAGTAACTTACACTTCAAGTCTTTCCACGATGTGATCTATTTGCACGGCTCAGTCTAGGATGAAAACAGAAGATTATGAAGAAACGAATGAATTGCAATGTATGAAGGATACAGTCACGATGGAGAAGGCGGAAGGGTTTGGAAAAAAAACTGTCATTGACAGAAAAAAAAACCACTACGAAGAGAGAAGATGTTGTACTATAAAAGGAGAAGATGTTGCACTATGAAAGGAGAAGATGTTGCACTATGAAAGGAGAAGATGTTACACTATGAAAGGAGAAGATGTTGTACTATGGAAGGAGAAGATGTTGCACTATGAAAGGAGAAGATGTTGCACTATGAAAGAAGAAGATGTTGCACGATGGAGAAGGAGAAGAGGTCCTCTTTCGAATTGCCATGCGTCCATGAGCAAAACGGAAGAACGTCCTCCTTCAGCTTGCTGTGCAAAACTGAAAGAAGACTTGGACCAGAAGCAAGATGTCCTCTTGCGAATTGCTATGCGTCCATGAGCAAAACGTAAGAACGTCCTCCTCCAGCTTGCGGTGCAAAACTGAAAGAAGACTTAGACCAGAAGAAAGACATCCTCTTACAGCTTGGTGTGCGTCCACGACAAACCGAAAGAGGATGTTTTCTTTGCTTCTTTGCTTGAACCAGCATCAGATCAATGCTCGATCGGTAAAAGACTCCATTGGGACTTGGTCTTGATATGATACATGCCTTTCCTATGCGACATCGTGACTTGGTCTTGATATGATACTTGCCGTTCCTATACTCCATCGGGACTTGGTCTTGGTATGATACTTGCCGTTCCTACACTCCATCCGGACTTGGTCTTGGTATGATACTTGCCGTTCCTACACTCCATCGGGACTTGGTCGTGATATGATACTTGCCGTTCCTATACTCCATCGAGACGTGATAACGAACGAGATGCTAGAAAGGGGTAGAGAGGAAAGATAGTGGTCAAGACATGATCTTCAAAACTAGTTGGGACTCACCGTGCGTCCATGAGCATAACGATAAAGTCATGAACGAGAAAATGTTGAACGGGAAGCTGGAAAAGGAGAGAGAGAGGAAAAATAGCAGTCATCATATGATCTTCAAAAGTATTTACGAGTCCACGATAGCCTCCCCCGAATTGATATGCGTCCATGACCAAAACGAAAGAACGTCCCCTCCCAGATTACTGTGCGTCCACGACAAACCGAAAGAAGATGTTTCCCTTACCTAAATGTATTACTTACTTTTCCTATGCTCCATCGAGACGTGATAACGAACGAGATGCTGGAAAGGGGTAGAGAGAAAAGATAATGGTCAAGACATGATCTTCAAAACTAGTTGGGACTCACCGTGCGTCCATGAGCATAACGATAAAGTCATGAACGAGAAAATGATACGATCCTTGCCTTCCCTATGCGACATCGTGACTTGGTCTTGATACGATCCTGGCCTTTCCTATGCTCCATCGTGACTTGGTCTTGATACGATCCTGGCCTTTCCTATGCGACATCGTGACTTGGTCTTGATACGATCCTGGCCTTTCCTATGCGACATCGAGACGTGATAATAAACGAGAAGCTTGTGAGCGAGATGCTGGAGGAGAGAAGAAGAGAACGGAGTAAAATCAGTGTCAGTATGTGATCTTCAGAACTAGTAAAATTGGACAAGAAGCAAGGGTTCTTCTTCCGAATTACCATGCGTCCATGAACAGAACGGAAGAACGTCATCCTACAGTTTACCGTGCGTCCACAGGCAAGCTGAAAGAAGACTTGTACCAGAAGAAAGACATCTTCTTACAGATTGATGCGCGTCCACAACAAAGCGAAAGAGGATGTTTTCTTTGCTTGATCAGGGAAAGACTCCCGTTAGAATTCGGTTTGGACTTAGTACTCATCTTTATTTACTCTCCATCGAAACATGATAATGCTTCTTGTTGAAGACTTGCTGGCAGTATACCCCGGAGGAGGATATGATGATAAAGTGGATGATGGTGGTAGCAGGGTCAGTTTGGGAAGTGCATGAATGCATGTATTTATGCAAACAAAAGTTGGTGCAGTGCAGACATCTTGTTCCTGGAAACCTGCCTATCATGCTGTCAAGGAATCAAAGTAGATGTTGTGCTGTAACCATCGGATGGTTACTTGTCTGACAGGTCGTATGATCTTCGAAATGACATGTATCACCAAATGATTTCATTCAATGTATGCGTATCGAGTGATACTAAATAATCATTCTTACCCTTCCAATGGGAGAAATAACGAGGGCTATGTATTTCAAGTTTCAATCGATAGGGCGATCAAATAGATCAATCGACGTTCAAGTCGAACAGTTGGTCTATATATCAGTCGTGATTCATGAATGGTGAAAATGATATACCTGCTTCGGACAGGTTCTTCTTCACGGCACGAAGTACTACTGACAGACATGAATGCAGTTCGATATAGCCCTACTCTTGCCAGCAGCCTAGCCTGTGTCTAATGAAACGCGTTGTTGCTGCAATGAACGCGACCGCGTTCTGATTGATGATTGGTCATCATTGACTTCTATGAGCATTTCTAAGCTTTGATCGTATTCAATCTGGCCGTTGTATGCCGCTGCAATCGTTTCAACCGTTTCAATCTTTACCACTTTCGGCTGTTAGACGGTCAAGGGTGCTGTCAAACAAGTGTTCCTCATTGATGATTTCAAAATTAGCAGAATACAAGATAGTAATTCTTATTTGCTTGATTATTACATTAATACTTGCTCTGATAATTGATTGATTAATCACTTGATTACACATTCTGATCCCTACTTTTTTTTTTGAGCATATGACCTATTCTGAACTCATGAAGTATATCGCGTGCATTATTTACATCATTAACAAACTCAAAAGAGTGCTTTCATGCATCAATTACGCAATTCCGTGGGCGTATCTTCTCTTAATCACGGGCGCCGCAATCGCTGCTCCTTCTTTCGGACAATTAAATTCTCTTGCTCGCTGAGCGGCGTTGTAGAATTGTGTTACTTTACTGTCATCATCCTTTTTTCCTTTTGGTTCTTATCGGTACCGCTTCTTTTTGTTTTTCCTTCAACATTTCAAAGCAACAAAATCGATTCAAATCGATTATCACTTATCAACATGAGTAAATCTCATTCAAGAACGCCGTCTGAATCAACAGTCTTGACAGAAAAAACGACAAAATCAAGCAAATCATGGAAGTTGCCTCGAATGAGCACGGATGGCAAATTGAAAGCAAAATTGACCAGAATGACAAGCCGACGCAAAAGAGTTACAACAGATAATGTGCCCGCCGTTCCAGCTTTGCCTCAGTCTGTATATCTACAAGACAAATCCACAAAAGGTCACGATCAAGAATATGCAACTGCATCACAAGACAAAAATGGCTCATCTCTCATTGCTGGAATGTCAGCATGTCTGGAAACCGATATGAGAAACGATCTGATCCTTAAGCCACCCGCCCCTGCTTTTTTGGGTATCAATAAGAGACGCAACTCTTCACGAAGTAGCTTGACATCCAATTCCGAAAGTGGAAGCGAGTTTAGTTCTGAAAGATCTTTCTCTGCTTACTCAACTAGCACTGCTTATTCACCTTTATATCTCAATTCTAGCATTTCAACACAGAGTGGTACGAAATCCTCAATGAATGCAGAAAGAGATGCCAAATCATCCTTGACCAATACTATCAAAACTTTCGGTCGTCGTATGAAAGGTCGAGAAACGCAAAAATCATTTGCTACACCTTCGATTGCATCAATGCCATTAGCTTCTGCATCTGCCCCACAACTATCACGGAATGAGTATACAATCGAACATGATCCTTTTAGAAGTGCGCCACTGTATGTTCCAAATCTGTTACCAGGTGCTGATGAAGGTAATTCGATGGCAAAAGATCCTCAGGGGACATATTTGATGGGAAAAGAAGACAAAGCAAGTGCAATGATGGAGGATATTGACAAGAAATCCACCTACACATCACCTCATCAAGATTCAAAGGACAAAGAGAACACTCAGTACTTTGGTCCATACTTCTTCAAAAGCAAAAACGTTTTCTTTCAAAATAGACCCGTTTTCAATACAGAACAAATGCTTCGCTCTAGTGAATCAGAAGACGAATACGGCGTAGAAGAGGAAGAAGAAGGAATAAGCTCAAGTTCTGCTACACAAAGAGTGACAAACATCTCTCCAAGACAGTCGCCGATGCTATCTCCTACAACTCTTCTACCACCAACGCCACCATTCTCACCCTCGCGATCCAGCGGCGGGCTCATAACGTCTGCTAGAAAGGCTTTGTACACATGTACAGTGCAAAAGTTGCATCCCCAGTTGCGGAGCAGAAAAGAATCTCTACCCTCTATCGCACTCAAATCACCAAGATCGATGAATCTTTTCAGCGATGTCCGGATGCACCCATCTACTACGAATCATCTTCGCAGTTTACCCATCCTCCTAGCCCGAACACGAATCACGCGCCGTTTGAGGAGCTTCGATCTGACAAAGGAAGAAGAGGATGAAATACAAATCTTTGTGGACAAAGGATACTTGGATATCTATCTTTCTCCCAAAGAAGTCGGGTCTAGAATCGCGCAAAAGATGTGCAATAATTCGCAGGCTGAAGCTCTGGCGAAGCTCCCTTTGCTATCTTCTTCCAGCAACAAAGCTGTGAATGAAAATGGCATGACAAGTTGGATCCAGCGTAAAACTTTCATTGAACGAATGAATGCATTCTCTTTGGTACAACATGGTGATGAAATCAGACTAAATGCGTCCGATATCGAGGTTAATTCTTTCCGGCGTCTGCATTTTTCTCAAAGGTGCAGGATCATGGCTTTTGGTGACGGCATCGACCAATCCGAACTGAGATTGAAGAAAACGACAAGCTCGGATGACCCTATGAGCAAAGAAGACAAATCCAAAAGCAACTCATCAACACGAAGGGACGAAGAAGTGCAAAGCTTACCAGACGAAGACGACGTACCCCTCGCTTTGCTCAAAAAACAAAGATTCAAAAGTACATCGTCCCAAAATGACTTCAACGCCCATCTCAACTGTCAATTGAACTTATCACAGAAGAACACCGGGTTCAATCTTGAAGCAAAACTCAGGCGACAGCAAAACGATCGACCTAACATTACCAATTTTGCATCGTACCCCTCGTCACTGAAAGTGGGAAACGGTAGTACAAAGAAGCGAACATTGCATGAATTGAGCAAGAGCGTTAAAGCGGATCATTCTGTCACTCGTCCTACTTGTGATCCTTTGCGCCAAAGGACGATGACTCGATCAAGGGATGAACGTCAATCTTCTAGCCATGCAAGAAACGAAAATGGCGTCGCCTCACGCAGAGTGTCAATGTCTTTGCCTGCAACACAAACAATTGCCATGGTCACACCGCAGCCCATGCTGATGGCACAATGGTCGAATCCCATTCACGTTCCAGTTATTTATGGGAATATAGTGCAACCGATTCCGATGAACCAGATTCTTTACCCTATGCCGCCCCTATCGACAGTTCAGATGGGACTTTCTGTATCGAATTCAAACGCACATTCGGACGTTCATCGAGAAGCACAGCGATACGGTGGTCGCACCACTTCGAAACGATCCCCACTTTCCCAGAATGTATTCAGCGCATAGGGGACTGAATATCAATGGAAGGGAAAAAGATACAGTGCATCGATCGTACAGAGAGGAAGTTGTATTTATTTGTACAGAGTCAATATGGACATTGATGTTGTGAGATAAAGTACAAAGTGCGAAAAGTTAAATGGAGGTTCAGAGGCGATGGAATGAATTCAGACATTGCTGAAGAAGAGAAAGGGGAATAATTTTGTCAATATCTGTCAATCTTTTTAGCAAGATATGGTAACGTACTCGTCATGAAAAGACCAAACTGTATCTTTGGGAGATATCGGCGCATGTTTTACATATCTGTCATTATCTTTTGGCTTCTCCTTCTTTTTACAACTTGCAAGCATGCTTTGCATCGTTAATAAAACACTTGTCACGTTGAGCACCGGACTCCATTCGGTTGACAAGATGGAAACGCAACAATGTCCATTGGTATAAATGTGAGGATGCTGTTCAAGATGTGCGAAAGTCAATACTTCGATACGATTTCGTTGATTATACCATTACTTACTTCGGGTGCTTTGAAGGGAGGCGAAGTAAGAAAGACTACTTCGGGTGCTTCTAATGGATAATTGTCGTTGAACCTAAACCGCAATGCAAACGTTTCACCTTCGTATACACTTTCGCCCAGAACGGTTAGAGAGAATCTCCATTCTTTAAGATCTTCTGCGTTTAGTAAAGTTGTTCCAGTTGGAGGACCTGACTTATGGATCTCTGAAAGGGAGAGGGAGAGAGTAAGCTTTTAGATTGATCGGGTATGTCTTACTTTATCACTTACCTGCAAGTTCTTTTGTAAGTCTCTTGTTAGCGATCCGAAGAGCCATTCTCTTCGATAGAACCCTTTTCTACGTTGAGACGATCTGGTTGTCGTGTGATGGAAGTATAAAAGGTGCTGATAGCCATCAAGTCATTCTTCCAAATAGAGAGGAGCTTAATGAACCCACACAAAACCCAAAAACCCTGTGGCCTAGCGCCCGCCCGCCGCCAGAAAATTAAAAAAGGGGAAAGGTCCGTGCGGTTATGTTATGCGGGCGTCTATTACAATATACTTAATGTTTTAAAAGCTGTACTTATATCTATAGAGTGTAACGATAGAGTCATATATAATATTTTTACTTAAGAATAAGCTTTATATAACTATTTTAATAGTTTAGATTACGATCGGGTTTTATTCAGACCGAGATTATATAATCCAATTTTATCATTTCTTTATGACGCGAACGCGACGCGAAACAAATTGATGTAAAGTGCACGCGATAAAACGTGATCAACTTTTTATTTTCCCGATGTTAGTAAAGTGGAGGCTTTTGGATGAGTGCTGTACTGCTGCAGTTTAATTGGTTAAGTAATCATGTTCGCATCAAGTAAGCTATGTATATACATAACAGCATACATTCTGCATATGATCGTCATCACAATGTAATTATCCAAAAGGCCATAATCAACTTTCCATTTTACACCATCATCTCAGACTTAAGCTCATTGTATGCTTCTTTCAAGATTTTTATTCTCTTCTACGTCAAATTTGACAAAGGTCATTTCTGTAAAAACTCTTTGTCGGAAATTAATTTGGTCGGCGATCCAACGATTTGACTATCAAAAACATCAATCCATACACTCTTTCACTATCAAAATGGCACCCAAAAGAAGCTCGGCTAAAAGGGAGACATCCGATCAAGTCGAAGATGCAGATGAAAGGGCTCTAGACCCCACTTTGACAGACAAACCAGACGTTTCTGATAGTGAAATGGCACGTCCTGCCAAAAAACGCAAACAAAGTTACGATAAATCACAATCTATCAAGAAATCCGATCATCTAGATTACTCATTTAGCGATACTGTTGGTCACGACGGAAACGAGAAACCTCCAAAAAGGAACGCATTCAATCCAACAGGGAAATTACCTGAAAAGCCAACACCCATCGAAACATTACGTGAAACATTGAAAGAACAAGGGAAAGCAGAGGGAAAGCCAAAGAATGTTTTGTATTGGATGAGAATGCGTGACCATAGGATTGAAGATAACCGTGCGTTGGCAAAAGCAAGCGAAATCGTTCAATCAAACCAAGGCTCTCATTTGATTGCCCTTTTCATCATCTCACCGGACGATTATCGTTCACATGATCGCTCGCCACGAAGGATTGATTTCACTCTTAGAAATCTACGTGATCTTCAAAAGCAATTCGAAAATGATCTGAACATTCCATTCATTATTCTTACTCATAAACCAAGAACGGATATACCGAATAAAGTAATGCAATTGTGCAAAGAATGGAATGTAAATCGTTTGTACGGAAATATCGAATACGAAGTCGACGAACTCTGGCGTGATATTCAGATTCTGGAACAAGGGAAGAAGGAAAGCATTCATTGCACTTTTATCGATGACACATATGTCGTTCCACCCGGCAAAGTGAATACAAAAGATGGTCGACCTTACAGCGTTTTCTCTCCCTGGAGTCGTGTGTGGATGGACATTGTGGCCAAAGAAACGGAAATGTTGGAAGAAGCGCCTGATCCAAAATCAAACGATAAATCAGTCAGAGAGGACGAAAATTTAAAGACTTTGTTTGATAGTAAAATCCCAGATCATGTTGAAGGCTTCGAATGCAAGGATGGCGAATATATGCGAAAACTTTGGCCTTCAGGAAGCAAATCCGCAAAGCAGGTATTGGAAAATTTTATCAAAGAAAAAGGAGGTTTACATGTTTTAGAAGGACCAGCAGATCAATTCACAACGGATGAGAAAAGTTCAAACATCAATGGAAAGGAATCAAGAATTGAACGGTATCAAACCGGCAGAAATCTGATGCACGAAAATGGAAGTAGTCGAATTTCTCCGTACCTCACCGCAGGCGTGATCAGTGCAAGAGCATGTATGCGCAGAGTAAAAGAGATGACAAACAATCGTTTAAAAGTTGGACGGGATTCAGGACCTGCGGCATACAATATGGAAATCGGTTTTCGAGATTTCTATGGTCATGTACTTGCAGCTTGGCCGCGTGTTTGCATGGGTAGAGCATACATTACCAAATATGAAGACGTTGTATGGGAATACGATCAAAGTACATTAAATGCATGGAAAAATGGAAGAACAGGATATCCAATCGTTGACGCATCTATGCGACAAGGGGCGAAACAAGGGTACATGCACAATCGTGGTAGGATGATCGTTGCAATGTTCTTAACCAAACATCTTATGCACGATTGGCGTGAAGGTGAATCTTGGTTCATGCAAAATTTCATCGATGGTGATTTCGCATCAAATAATGGAGGATGGCAATGGTCAGCTTCGACTGGAACAGATCCACAACCTTACTTTCGAATCTTTAACCCTTTGTCTCAAAGTGAAAAGTGCGATCCAACAGGAGATTATATCCGTCATTGGGTTCCCGAGCTGAGAGATATCAAAGGAAACGCAATCCACGCTCCTCATGAACGTTTATCAAAAGAAGAATTTAAAACTCTCGATTACCCGGAGCCGATTGTTGAACATAGATTTGCCCGTCAAAGAGCACTGCACAGATTCAAGAATGTAGGGGAGAAATGAATGAAGATATAATGAGATTTTGTACAATATGGCCCGGTGACTGTTGAAGATAGAATTGCGATATGGCGTTGGACAGTTATTCTAGAATATTCATACAGCGCGCGAGAATAAATTGAATCACGTGATAATTGACATTTTGGTCTTTTCATGCATTCCCGATCATAAGATGATAATCTTTTCTTGTTAAAAAGACCATCTATCTATCATCCACTCTTTCACAACCAAGCTCACGTATAAGATGTCTTCAAATAGCGAAATACAAGCATCATTTTCGCTTGATTTGTTTACTGCCGAAAAAAGGGATGAATTCGCACAATCTTATACCACCTCTCAGCCTTATCGACATTCAGTGATCGACGGCTTGATCGATGATTCACTTTTACGTCGTGCTAGAAAAGAGATCATAGATGAATTACGTTTCACCGAAAAGGAAACTGATATTTACAAGGTGAATCAAACGGGAGATTTGGCAAATTTGGACGGACTACCAATAGAGGAGGCAAAAAGATTGGAAAACGTTCTTCGTGTTCGTAATGCGATCTATTCGGACGAATTTCGATCTTGGCTTGAGCATGTGACAGGTTGTGGTCCTTTAAGCGCAAAAAAGAAAGATATGAGCATAAATGATTATACAAATGGCTGTCATTTACTCAATCATGACGACGTCATTTCGACAAGAAGAGTTTCGTATATTTTATATCTACCCGACCCAACAGAAGAATGGAACAAGAATTGGGGAGGCGCTTTAGAACTGTATCCGGTAAAAGATAAACATATTCCAGCCAATTCGCCTTCGGTCATCATTCCACCAAAATGGAATCAATTCACTTTTTTTGCTGTTCAACCAGGTCATTCATTTCACGCTGTCGAAGAGGTCGTTCATCCATCCAAATCAAGGTTGAGTATCAGCGGTTGGTTTCATCGTCCTCAACCCGAGGAAAAAGGTTTTGATGCAGAGGACGAAAAGATTGAAGAACAGGCAAGAAAGGATCATGCCAGCGCTGAAGGATTGCTCTCCAAAGAATTTGATTTACCCTTTGCTTCGTATAACGAAAATGGAGCTCCTTTGCCGGGTTCGGATTTATCTTTAGATGATAAACGCTTTCTGGCTAAGTTCATCAATCCTGCCTATCTGCAATCCCGAACGCAAAATATCCTGTTTGAGAGATTTGGAGAGGAAAGTCACATCCTTCTAATCGATTTCTTGCGAAAGGAGTATGCTACCGCCTTAGAAAACGGTCTTCGCACAATCGATGGAGGGCAAGAAGAGGGGAAAAGCGACAATGTTCGCTGGTGGGAGCTTGAGGGGCGCTCAAAGCTCCAGCCGCCAAGCCATCAATTGGGTGTCAATTTAGCAAAGGGATGGTCCATTTCTGGTCCGCCTCATCGTCAAAGATTTTTGAATTTCAATTCTGACGGGAAAAGCACGGTACCTTTAGAGGAGAACCCAAAAGTAGATGATCAAGAGACGGAAGATGGAAATGCATTGCTCTCCCATTTACAAAAATCTTTATTCCCATCTCCCGCTTTTCGTCATCTGTTGGCAAACATAAGTCAATTAGTGCCAATTGGCATAAGGCCCGTACAAGTTAGACGATTCAGGCCAGGACTGGATTATACGCTGGCAAGAAGTGATGCAGAAGCTGTACTGGATGTTACCTTGGATCTAACACCAAATGCCGCATCGGCTGCCATGCGAAAAGCGGCAGGGACAAATGGCACGATCCCAAAGGGATTGGCAGGGAAGAGAAAAGCGTCCACACAGGATACAAAGATATCGGGAAATTCCGAAAAGATCAACAAATCAATTGCAAAAAAGCTCAAAGAGGCTTGGGAAACTGGAGAATTAGGAGGCTGGGAAGCATATATGCCTCCAACGGACGAAAGTGATGATCCCGCTGTTTATGGAAGTGGAAAAGGTGAAGCGGCTAATGATGCGGAATCGAAAGAGGAAGAAGGACAAGAAGAGGAGATGGAAATCGAACTGGAGAACGAGGAAGACGAAGCAGATTCAGAAGGAGAAGATGATGGAGTTTTATTGAACTTATTACCTCAATTCAATACTCTCTCTCTTGTCCTGCGCGATGAAGGCGTAATGCGGTTCGTAAAGTATCTTTCGGCAAGTGCAGGAGGAAGTCGTTTTGATGTCTCTGCAGAATACGAAGTCGGTGCTGCAATTCCAGAGGAAAGTTGAAAGCCAAACAGCAACAACCTCATCCTCATCACCATCAGGTATGCTCATTAAGTATACCTTCTATTACGTGCCAAATGCAATTGTAAATCAACAACATATGTAATATATGACTGTCTAGCAGAACAGCTGATGAACGATGATTCACAATCGTTGAGATCTTGTGAGGTCATCTTTTTCTTCACCATGGACTCGGATATCTTCCTTGAAGGACAACAAATCATCTTTTTTGGTCGTTGTATTCAGGTCAATTTCGCGAAAATCGTTCTCGTTTTCAATTTTTTTCTGCTGAAGGCGGATGAACCAATGTTGATACACTGTCACTCGTATTCATCTTCCTCAAATGATTTCGGTCTTTAACAATCGTGGAAACCATATCAAATGGTACCTTTTGTTCAACAAAATAAGTGGGTCAAAATCTGACGAAAAAGAGGAAATGAGGAGAAGATGATGATGATAGCGGAGTAAGAAGAGACTGTTGGTAGCCTCTTCTCATCCGCATTCAAAAGCCGACCGGATAAAACCTTTCGAGATTCATGAATGATCATCTCGTACGTCGCTCAAGATCGGATCATGACATAGCATTCAAACAAGTGTCACAACAGAAGAAATGGCACACTTGACATCAACATTTGTCGTTCCTCTGCCCTCCTTTCCATGCTTTCACTTCACACTCTTTGGCTTTACATCCGTTCAACATTACCAAAGAAGTACGTCATCGTTGCTTGTTTTGAAGGGAGATTAATCAAACCGGTCAAACCTTCTTCATTCATGATGTCTCTACACTCGCATTCATCGGGCTCTTAAAAGCAAATATTGGCAGACTCTAGAGAAGAAGAGGAACCTCTCTTATCCATTGAAAACTCTGCAGCAACGTCCCGCTTTGCAGGTGGTGATGATGAGTTGCAGCTTTGTATGGTGAGATAGTTCCGCCGAGAACTGATTTGAGAGTCTGTATAGTTGTTGTGCCCGCAAGTATTGCCATCAGCATGCTCATGTCCATCACTTTTGCACTCCTGCGTGAGTCCAATGATGAAGGAAAGAGTCAAGCAGAAAACTCAATCATTTTAGTGACTTTCTTCTTGCATAAAGTCACGCTAATATGGAGTATACGTAGGCGTGCGTGCGTGCGTGCGTAGGGTAGCATACATCCATTGTCAGCCAACTTGATTACTTATCCTTTTGGATGACCATGATGAGAAAAGACTTGAATTTGAATAGCCCATTCAAAAAAGGCATGTCACGTCATACCTGCTGCTCCCGTTACACAAGCATCGATGGGTCATTTGACTGGCCATATCAATAACGATAGGTGCATACACAAAACTTTCACCATCTAAAGGTTTAACTCCTTCACTCATACCTGCAGAGCAGAATGGTGCCGCAGAGGTCTCAACGCACGGACAAGAGAGCAGAGTGCAGCAACCTTATCAAAGCTGCAAAGAAAGAACTTACCGAGAAGCCGGAAAAGCGGGATATGTCAGATCCATCGGATGGTTAGTAAGAGTCATAAATAGTAGCTGCAGATGATTGGTCAAAAAGTATTCGTTTGAAAGCCAGCAAAGCGGGATATCTCAAAACCATCGGATGGT